GTGGTGGCTGTACCTTTTCTGTGATGCCATTGAACTTGGCCAGGATGTTGAAGAGGGGCACTTGGGGGATAATGAGCTGCTCCTTCTCATCCTTGTAGAGTGGGGCTGTGGGCAGGTCCAGTGTCAGGTACATGAAGGTCGACTCCACCATGGTTTCCTGGTACTCAGTATTCAGCAGCAGCTGCTCCTTCTCCTCTGCTGGCTGGGGAAAAGTAGGTCGGGGAGGTGGAACTCAGTCCTGCCTACAGCAGCTTCCCCACCCCCAACAAGATATGCTAAAGCCAGGACTAAGGCTGCTAAATTCCATGGGGGATTTTCAAGGGGAAAGCACAGAGAAATGGGGCTGGAAGGATCTGCAGTGGTCACATCTAGCCCAACCCCTGCCTGAGGCAGAATTAGCCTTGTCCAAACCATTCCAGACACATCTATTACCCAACCTCTTAATAAAGCTACTGTCAACCCTGACACAATACAAGACCTCACACCCAAACCTGCCACAGGAAAAGCAGAGGGACCACAGCAGCCAATGTCCTGTTGCAGTAAAATGTCAACAGACACTTGAGACATCCAAGAGATCCCAGGATTCTGCTACAGAGGAAGGCATCCTGCCCTGCCCCCACAGTCTGTACCAATCTGACCTGGGGGAAAATTCCTTCCTGACCCTCAATGTGGCATTGGTCTGAGCTTGAACGGAAGGAAAGGCAAGACTCTTTAGCCAGGACCTTCCAGAGTCAGTCCCAGCAGGAGCACTGGTACAGCCCAGGCACTGTCCCCAGCCCAGGCTTCAGTGATGCCTCAGAGCAAGGCTTAGAAAAACAAGACATGCTTAGCAGCAAGTGGAGGGGAACAAGGGTTAATTCCCTCCTGGCCTTGTGCAGTAGCCAGCAAAGCCTGGGAAATCCCCATAGCAGAGCACAGGTATCACTACACCTGGATCATCCCTGAACAGTAGTTGTCCAACCTCTTGTTGAACCCACCCAGTGATGGAGTCCACAAATCCCCTGGGCATCTAATTCCACTACCTCACTGCTCTAGAAGCAGGCTGGAGAGAGGGACATTTGGAGGCTAATCCGCCCCTCAAGGACTCCCCTAGCCCAATCCACTGCAGTGCTGGGCCCTCAGTACTTACAAAAGAGGCATGAGGTGGGAGCTAATGTATCTTCACACATACAATGCACACCCTTGTTACAGGTCATCCCCCTGCCCCCCCTCCACCTCCTCTGCCCAAAATCCAGCAGCTTGAAGTCAGACCAGGGCCTCCACTCTGCCTTTGGTCTCATGGGCCTATAAATGCCTCACTGACATGGCTTCTCACTAGATTTTAAACTGACACCCTGCTCTGAGCATTTCTCCGAACAGGCAGCTGCTACTTGATCACTACAAAGAACCATCTTCCCGGGCCCCAACAAGCTGAAGATGGAATGGAGTGCACCCTCAGGAAATCTGTGGATGTCACCAAGCTGAGGGGAGGAGTGGATATGCTAGAGGGTAGAGGTAGGATTCAGAGAGACCTCAA